TTGATATATGGAGATTGGAATTAAACTCAAATACTAACTTCTACACTCTTGTTTCAAGTTCAGAAGACGAGTCAACTCAACATATTTATACTCTAGAGAAAATGAGTTTCATGTCGAATTTCAAACCTTGACCATAAAATTAAAAAATCTACCCTACAATAAATTTGAGGCCCCATTTAATCCAGTGGTGACCTCACGAGTAGACTTCAACGCACATAACTATGGCCATAATGTAACATCCATAATTAGCCTTGCAGGGATTGGTATTATGTGAAATGATTAGTTTTTGAGAATAGTCATTTGTACATAAAAAATGTTCATCATCTTTGACATCATTCGAGTTGACAAGATTTAATTGTGAAAAAAATGTTTATTTTTTTAAATTGTCCAATAGTGTGGTGCCACGTGAGACAATATAATAAAATTAAAAAAAAAAAAAACCAAGTAAAATATGATGTTCATATAAGTATGATTGTTAATTTTTATCTCAAAAAGCAGAGAAAGGATTTTGGCATTGCAAGGAAATAGTAATTTCACAATTGTTTTCACACGTATCAATAATGCACAGTGAGATTTAGACGTATGAAACTAGATGCCTCTCTCGCCACTCTTATTGCAATATTGTTTCTGATCAAGACTGGACAATTAAGTGCTTGTTTGGCACCCTTTCAAATCTTAAATTGTTTGTTATCGTATCATTCTTTACCACATATTCATACAATAAAATATTCTGCACATGAACCAATAAGATTTTTTTACTTTTTAACCACACATTTTCCAAAAAATACTATTTAAAACTCTTTAACTTTCCAAATAATGGGCAACAAACAGTGGCTAAATTTGACGCTATATTATATAGGATTGTACAGTAAAATTGATTGTCTTTACCGACAAAGAAGTCATTTTATTTCATGAGTAAATTCTTAGTCAATATTGTTTGACAACAATGTCTTTTAAGTAATTCATAATTGAATAGTATTTGGTTCGTAACCGAATAAACAAGTTTATTTTTTACTTTGAAAATCACAATTACTAAACTCGGAACATTTTGTGTGCCTTGTACATATGGTTTCTTTTTCAAGGAGTATTTTCGTCATCTTAATCCATTTCTCTTCGCAATTTGGCAAGTGACACTCTGATGGAAAAAATGACGCTTTTTTTTAAGTAAATGTTCTCTTCCTTAAAAATTATGACTCCGATAAGAAAATTATAACTTTAAGTTATTTGTAATTGAGCAGTAATTTTCAATTAAATAATTCATTGACAATGAATACACGTTTCGAAATTCAAATGGTCCCTAATAAAACAAGTAATTATTTTCCATACAAATTTACATGATGTAAAAAGAAGGTGCAAAGCCAACAGGGTGGGTAAATAATTGTAATTGATAGGCAAATATAGATGTTAATGATGAGCACTCGATGGAGTTGAATGAATGCTTGATAGCTGTGGTCATGCAAATCTTTTGAGCACTGCCATACATTTATGAAAAAACATCCCCCAAACTCATTGAATCATGAAAGAAAACTGCCTTTTTTCTCTAAAGGGTGACTCAAAATGGCTGCCAAAATCAAAAATCCATTTAAGAGGGCTCAAGAAATTGAGATGAAGTTATAATTAGGGTCCATTTGGCAAGAATTCTATTTTTACTTTCATGAGAAAGCTATTTTATGTTTTTTTTTTTTTTCTAAAAGCTCTTTTTAATAAGATAAAACACTTCAGAAAATTATTCAAACATGTTCATAAGTAGCTTTCTAATTTTAGAAGAAATTTTTGGATTTTCAAACCAACTAAACGGGTCCTTAGCATCTTTCGCCATCATTTGGATTTTCAGACCCCAATTAATTATGGACTTGTTCAGTAGTAATTATGATAAATGATTTTTTGACCGTTAGCAAGAATAGTAGGTATCACCTGTGAGTGAAGAAGTCAAAAGTGATATGAAGACTGAAATAGCGAAATAACGATCAAAAAATTGATTATTTATAGTGAAAATTTGCTATCAAACGGGACATAGTTATAACAAAAGGAACAAATTCAACTTTGCCAAACATTGCTCTTTTCTTGCACGTCAGGGTGAAAGCCCTTCTGCGCTATGTTTCATTGGCTTTGGCTGCTCCAAAACTGAACCAGCATATTCGACCAAGAGGATCAATTTTCAGTTGACAAACTGAAAATTGCTTCTGAGGATTATAATATTTTCGATGAAGATAGAGCTAGCTTTAGATCATATCTGCGGACGCAGACATTTTTGAATTGAGGGGTACAATTAAACTTTCTACAAATCGAATACTTTGTTCTTGATTTTTGAATGATTTATACTTGACTTGAGAAAATACAAATTTGCATTTCAAAAACATTTCTTTATTAATATTTTACTTATCATGTTCATTCATTTGATTTCGAACATTTATTTTATTAATATTTTACTCATCACAAGAAAATATAAATTTGCTTTTAAAAAATTTATAGCGTATTTGATACAAACAATCAAGTTAAGTAATCGAAAGGGAAAACATATAACAAATATTCAATACTAATAATCGATCAAATAAATACAATTCGTTAAATATAAGTTAAAGTAGATATAATCAGTTCAAACATATTATATATACACAAATAGAATAGGAGAAAATGTAAATTTAAGTTCTAATTAATTGAAAATTTGTAATAGATATGATAATTTGTGAAGAAATTATAGACAATTTTTTTGGCGATCACGTGAACCCAATACCCCTTTGGGTCCGTGAACTGTCCAGGTTCGAGGTTGTTTAACTCATAAAAAAATACACATAAAGAATTACTTTGCATATATTATATTTTTAACTTTTTTTAAACTAATTTAATATACTTTGTCTAATGTATTTATATCCAAATATATAAAGTTATATATAGTTTGTGTTGAATTTGTATAAAAATCATATTCAATTATTTCACTAGAAAAAATCAATTTAACATTTTAACTATAGTAGTTATACTGCTACTACAATTTTCTTATGTTCTGTTACTTTTTAATTGCACTTCTTAACCTTTATTCATTGTTGTTACGATATTCACATTTATTTGTTGCATTTTATCCCAAACATTTTATTATTTAGTAAATTTTGACTGCGACGATGATTCCTTCTAAAAGTTCATCAATTAGCACAATATTTTGTAAGGAAATATGCTGGAAATGATTAACCTTTGCCTTCAACGAGCAAATGGTCCCTAACATCTATTTCTTGGCAGAGAAATTCCTAACCTATGTGTGTTGGTGAAAAATTGATTTAAAAAAGAAAAAGAAAAAGAAAAAGGCCAATACAACTTCATTTTAATTAGGAAAAATAGCAATTGGGTGCCTAACCTTTGCAAAATATGCAAATAAAGCCTCATAACTTTATCTAATATTTTTAATTTAGCTATGGTTCTATTAATTAAAATTTTCAAAGAGAAAAATAGCTTAAATTATGGTGTTTTAAGCGTATGTAATTATTTTGTGATGGGAAAAACTTAAACAATAATATAAACAAGTAATAAAATGACATGACGTATAAAATTTTATAAATTCAACCAATTTTATTGTGTTTTTATTTATTTTCTTTATCGAATTAGTACAATGTACAATAAATTTAAGTATGAAAAATATAATTGGAAATCTAATATTTAATATACAAATAGTTCAATTGAAAAATACAATATATTTAACTTCTAAATAAAGTTCTACCGAACTGCTCCGAGTCTCGTAATTTTCTTTCAAGCCAATGTTTGCCATCGAGACCATGCAATTCAGGCTCGACCTATTCATTTTAACACCTAACATATTCAACGATGTTCACGAGGGCAGCAAGCAATTCATAATGAAGTCATTGAAAAATCTTACCAGTTGATGTTATGATTTTTCACGTTCGTGACCCATGAGGTTTGCCCAACTCATCATACTATTAATATTCATCACCATTATTCCAAGCTTAAACTTAGTAGAAAAAATGCTTACCATATGATACTAGGCAAAATAATTGCATTTGTTATCATTCATGGGGCACCCTATTAGCTATAGGGCTAAAATGTCATTATGCTTCGCTTACTGAGATATATTAGGAGAATCTTGGTGCCCTTCTTTGGAATTTATGCACTAGACGCAGGATTCAATCCATTTTTAAAAAATCAATTCAGGTACTTACTCAAAAAAGGTAAGATCGAGGTTGAGAATTACATGATCGAATCAATAATAAAAACAAAATTGTTTGGAGTGAACTGCCGATTCCCAAGTTACTAGATTGTTAAGTTTTTATATGTAATTGAATTGAATTTTGGATTGTTTCCTTATTTTTTCTAAACAAACCTCGTAGTTCAAATTGGGTTCAAATAATGTGCAATCTAAAAACTTCAAATGATAATCACCCGGGCAGAATATACTAATTCTTTCTCATTTTTCTCGAACAATTTTAATTTGTGTTAGCCATATATCTAAAATTATGTCAACCACTAACTAATCTTCACAAGATAAAAATGAAAAAAAAAAAGTTAATTAGAAAGTACTAATAACATACTTGAACAGTAGCATTTCTATCTAGCATTCTATTCTAACTTGTCTTTGGATAGATACGTACATAAAAAATTTGAATGAGTTGTGAAAATGGTATATTATCACAAGTACAATACAAACAAACGTATAAATGATGTTTAAATGATGTTTCGACACTTGTGTTTGTAAAAAATTTATTGCGCAAAAACCGTATAACTCATCCAAGTCATCATTGCAAATCCTGGGACGCCAAGATGGCCCCACGCATCATTTTGACTGTATACAAATACAACTCAAATACCCAAAATACCCTTATGTACAAGTCCTAAAATACCCCGTTCATCATTCACATGACGCCATCCCCTAAAAACCTCATCATCATAATCATAGTAAAATGGAAAATCCTTGCCTAGACAACACACAAGCCGCCTTCTTTGCACTATATATATTTACACTCTGTCCCTCACAATACAAACAAACGCTACCACTACCACTACTTCTTCTTCTCTAACCAAGGCAAACTTCCAAAGGGTAGTCTTTTTTCTTTTTAATTTTACTGGTTCTTAAAACTTTGAAGAATACGGTTCTTGGATAGGTTGTCATAAGATTCGTTTTTATGGGTTTTCTTCTAATTGTCTACAACACTTATTCTTGTCTTTTTAATTGAGTAAATGGACACACTCCCTTACATTTTTGTTATTAATTTTTTTGTAAATGTTTGACAGAAATGGAGAGGCTAAACTCAAAGCTGTACTTGGAGAACTGCTACATAATGAAGGAGAATGAAAGGCTGAGGAAGAAAGCTGAGTTACTGAACCAGGAGAATCAAGCACTGCTAAATGAATTGAAACAGAAGCTGTCAAAGGCTGCCAGTCATGGTCCAAATTCCATTCCTGATCTCGACATGTCCTCCTCCTCCAATTCCAAGCCTTCCAAATCTAGCAAGAAATGAAATGGCCCCACCTATATTGCAACACCATTTTGGAGTTAAAAAACTAATAGTATTTTGCATAGAGAAAATACGTAGTTCTGATCCACCAGTGCAGGGGTTATCTTTTCTAGTTCATGTCTATATTTTTTTTTGTTGGGTTTTGGGGGGGAGGGGGTGGTGGGGGGTGTTAAGGTATCTTCACAATGTATCAGTCCACCTTTTGAGAGAAATATGATCTATCTTTTTATTTTTATTTTTTTTTTTCTATCTTTTTATGGTAATGATTTGTTTGGATTAATTTCTATATGCTGGGATAAGTCAATCTCCAGAAAGTTTCACTGGAATTCATTCATTCATGATGCTTGATCTTTCAATGCCTTGAATGAAAGAACACTCCAATTTAATGATTTTTGTGTTTCAACGAAACAGAACTTTAATTCGAATTTCATGCATATTATTTCGATAATTGAATTTTTGTTCGTTGCTTTTGAATAAACCATCGCTTGTCTATAGAATGATCGTCACGCAAAAAACATAGTACGTTTACATGTAAAGAATGAATGGTTACTTACAAGTTCACTCGAAAGAGCTTGATACAATCAATTTTTTTATCTGAGTTTTGCAAAGAATTTGATGACTAAGTGTTAATTGGCAATAAAAACGACAAGAAATGTGAATGTTCAACAAAATTTTTATCGCTCATTTGAAAGCACGCAGATAGAATATTTGGACAGAAACTTTCCTAAGGGCAACTCCAACCCTTGCACCATTACACCAAATTGCACCAAAATTTGGTGCAAACTTCCTCCAACCATTGCACCATTGCACCAAATTTTGGTGCAAAAAATGGTGAAATGAATAGTATTGCACCAAATATGGTGCAACACTATTCATGTTGCACCATTTTGCACCAAATGGTGCAATGTCCATTTTACCCTTATTTTTCTTTTTTTAAAGATAATGGTTAAGGACATTTGTGTCATTTTCATTCTATAATAATAATGATAATGATAATGATGATAATAATAATAATTACTTAATTAATTACACTATTAATTATATTATTAAAGTTTATTATTTTTAATAATATAATCAATAATAATTAACGTAATTGTTAATTTAACGAAAAGTTAAATTCGTAAAGTTTACGTTTAAAATTAAATTTAATGTAAAGTTTATATTATTAAAGTTTATTATTTTTGTAAATTTAACGTAATTGTTTATCATAAATTAATAATATAATCAATTATTTTTGTCAATTTAACATAATATATATGACATGTGAAGTTTTAATTTAATGAAGTTATGATTTAGTAATATATATAGTTATAAAATAAATAAATAAATAAATAATATTTTAAAATAAATATATTGTTAAAAATCGAAAGAATGAATAAAATAATAAATCACTGTTCATTTGGTGTAAATTTTGGTGAAATGGTTGGAGAAGAATTTTGGTTTGGTGCAAGATTTAGTGCAAAATTTGGTGCAAAATGGTGCAAAATTTGGTGCTGGGTTGGAGATGGCCTAATAGACTAAATGTGCTAAGGTTAAGTAAAAAAATCAGGGTAATTAGCACAAAACATCCTTACCTTTCGATGTTTTTGTGGAAAACGTCCCTACCTTTCATTTTTTGGCGGATTACACCCTTACTTTTACCTTTTTTTGCGCAAAACGTCCTTCTGTCAACTCTCCGTTAAAATGCTCCGTTAAATCAAAAAGGTAATTAGCACAAAAGGTCCCTACCTTTCAAAGTTATTGTGCAAAACGTCCCTACCTTTTATTTTTTAGCATAATTAGCAAAAAAGGTCCCTACTTTTCAATATTATTGTGCAAAACGTCCCTACCTTTCATTTTTAGCATTTTTACCCCTACATTTCACCTTTCATTACGCAAAAAGTCCTTTTCATCCATTTTTTCAATAAAATGACGATTTTACCCTCCTATTGAAACAAAACAAAAAGAAAAGAAAAAAATAATTAATTAATTGCAATCATAGTTCTAAATCTTTCAAAACATTACAAATAAATCCTAAATTCTCCACTACAGCCACTTTCACAACCTCACCAAGCCACCGCCTATAGATCCATATAGCACCACTTTTCGACCACAACACTTATCGGACTCCACCACCACCAGCATCGCATCACTCTCCCCAATATTCTCCTCCATAGTATTGGTCACCAATCTGTCCGAAACAACCACATTTACGGTGGTGGAGTCCGGTGGGCATGGTGGCCGAAAGGTGGTATTATGTGGATTTATAGTTGGCAGCTTGATAGGCTGTGAAAATGGTGGTGGTTGAGAATTTATGATTTTTTTGTAATTTTTTAAAAATTTAAGGACTATGGTTGTAGTTGGTAATTCATCTTTTCTTTTTGTTTTATTGGAATAGGAGAGTAAAATCATCATTTTATTGAAAAAATGGATGAAAATGGCCTTTTTTGCAATGAAAGGTGAAAGGTAGGGGTGAAAATGCTAAAAAATAAAAGGTAGGGATGTTTTTCACAATAACATTGAAAGGTAGGGACCTTTTGTGCTAATTATGCCAAAAAATGAAAGGTAGGAACGTTTTGCACAATAATATTGAAAGGTAGGGACCTTTGTGCTAATTACCTATTGATTTAACGGAACATTTTAACGGGAACTTGACAGAAGGACGTTTTGCGCAAAAAAAGGTAAATGTGAGGGTGTAATCCGCCAAAAAACGAAAGGTATGGACGTTTTCCACAAAAACATCGAAAGGTAGGGACGTTTTGTGCTAATTACCCAAAAAATCATGTGGTGAAAAAAGTTTATGACGTATGTGACAATAAGTAAAAGTTGACGTTTGTTGTGATTAGATGTGGTGCAAAAAATAGAAAAAAAAAGAAAAAGAAAACACACAATTGTTGGAAAAAAATTGAGTGAGCGGCTCACTTTTGGCACAATTTTCGATGGGACCAGTTGGTCCAATGTGAAATATCAAAATTGATGTGTTCTCCTCCACGAGAACATCGATTTCATGTATTTATTTGTCAAAAATGAAGTTCGAGTGAATGAAAATTTGAAGTTCGAAGTTGGTCATTGGAAGTTGGTTTTGTGCGAAAAAATGCATTTATCCCACATAGAAAAATCAAAGAAACTCAAACCACTTTATATATGACTATACTTTGGAGATGTGTAATCATGTGTAGCATAGAGGCTCTCTCCACGTGCGCGCGCAGGGGGGTGCAAATCACGAACCGAAATAGCCTTCAGACTTTGAACTTGGGTGCGGGCTCGACCTGCGCACACGAATGTCGGATCGAATAAGGCAAAAATGACCCCATCGGAGATTCCCAATGGTCACAATATGCCTATAAAAAGGCTCATTCTCCAGCAATCTAACACACTCGAAAATCTCACCTACATTCCTGCATACACAGTTCTTCTTTTCTGCATTCCTTGTCCAGTGAGGTCTTATTTTTGTGGTAATTTTGTTCGGATATTAGATCAGTTAGCCGGAGTAGAATCGCGGTGCTCGGATTCTGCTTATTACCGATATCCTGGGAGACAGCCGCTCAAACTGAACCTCCAACACCTACGGTGAAGGGGCGAAACTGTCTTAAGAAAACTGTGCACGCACAGGCCTCGGTTTGAAATCTGCTGCAGTTGGTGTTTTCTTTCTGCAGATTTATTTCGTTGCAGTTCGTGTAGTTTCTTTGCAGATTCAGTTTATCCTTGCAGTTTCAGTTTCCATTTATTTCTGCAGATTATTTTCGCATTACTATTTAATTTATGCAGTTTGTAGTTCCATAGTGTGCAGCTTCCAGATTCATCTTTGCTAAATATTTTTCTTCCAACCGTTGGAAAATTCTGAAACGGAATTTTTTTATAAATTGAAATCGTTTGCCTTGTGGTTATTAATGTCAATAGTCGGCTATTGCATTTGAATAAAACTTATACAATTGGTTTCATCCACTAGCGACTTGTTTTCCTACAAGCTTAAGACAGTTCCGAAATTCGGAAAACAAGAGTTGGGTTTTGGTTCAACTGAATTATAGTTTCTTGAAACTAATATTTGGTTTGTTTTCAGAAATGGCAACCGAATCGAACAACATGGATGTAACCTAAAATGTTCCCCCTGGAAATCAGACTGTGGGTTTTAATGTGGCTTAAGGGTCAAACTCCGTTGTGGCTCAGACTGTGGCTAGAATGCCAAGTCATGTTGTGAGCCAAACTGACCAAACTGTAACTGTTCCGGTTAATCATGGAGAAAAATCGGAGAAATTCAATGGTTTGAATTTCAAAAGGTGGCAGCAGAAAATGCTTTTTTACCCGACCACCTTGAATCTTGCGAGATTCTTGACTGAAACTGCTCCAAAGCTTAATGAGGGCGAGGGAGATGTGCAAGCATTAAGTGCACTTGATGCATGGAAGCATTCGGACTTTTTGTGCCGAAATTATATCATGAATAGCCTAGCAGATGTGCTGTACAATGTGTATAGCACCATGAAAACTGCTAAAGAATTGTGGAGTCCTTGGACCGGAAATACAAAACTGAGGATGTCAGTGCAAAAAAGTTTATAGTCGGCAAATTCCTAGACTATAAGATGGTAGATTCCAAAACTGTTATCAGTCAAGTGCAAGAACTCCAAATGATCATTCACAAAATTCATGCCGAAGGAATGATGTTGAGTGAAACTTTTCAGGTTGCTGCAATTATAGAAAAATTGCCCCCCGCATGGAAAGATTTCAAGAACTATTTGAAACACAAACGAAAGGAAATGAACATCGAAGAACTCGTTGTTAGACTTCAAATCGAAGAAGACAACAAGAGTTCCGAGAAGAAGTGGTTCAATTCTGGTGTGGCCAAAGCCAATGTTTTGGAGCTTGGTTAAAGTAGTAAGAACTACAAAAACAAGTCTGGGCCATCCGGTGGCAAAAGAACCAAGCAAGGACCGAAAGGTGGAACTATCAAGAAGAAATTCCAAGGAAAATGCTTCAATTGTGACAAATTGGGTCACAAGTCTTCGGAGTGCAGATTACCGAAGAAGAAGAAATAAGCGAACGTGGTTGACTACATGGCACAAGATGTGTCGGAGCTGAATCTCGTAGCAGTCATTTCTGAAGTAAACATAGTGGGTTCAAACCCTAAAGAGTGGTAGATTGACA